CTTACTTACAGGGTTGCAGTCCCTTTACCTCGCAAAGGCACGCGAAGGCCAAAGCAGTAGAGAAGGGGGTGGGCCAGGACTGTGCCTGAGTAGATCTTCGGCCTACTCCAACCAGGCCCAGGCTGCTCCTGGGTGACAGCTTGTTGAGGGCCAGGGAATGGTCTCATGACCTCCATGTGAGGTCTGACAGGACATGTTATTATTAGCTGGGCCCTGAGTGACTTCAAGGTTGTCTTTTCAACCTGTTAAGACTTCAAAGCAGTTTCTTGGGCTCTATGACACAGCTACCTGGTCTATAAGACGTTTTTACTCATGCTCATTCCTTGAGCATTTCAGATGTGCATTTGCCTGATGATAAAATCAGGGTATAGAAAGACAAGAATTTCTGTAGGGTAGATCATGAAATTCAGTTTCCTGTAAAATGGCTTAGGAATAACTCCCTTCCAGGACTCAAAAAACTAAAGAGTTTTAATCTTATAAGCCCAGGTTCATTTTTCTGGATGAGGAGGCAGTGATATTGGGGCAGTAAAGAAGAAACAGGCTCTGAGCATGGTGTACAGAGAAGTGAAAGTGGGGGATGGAGAGAGAGAAGTGAGGGAGGGATCCTGTGATCCAGCCCTCCCAAGTGTCCTGACATCAGCAGACCCTCTTCAGGGCCTTAGACTCCTTGTCCACAAACTGTAAACATATTTAATCTCATAGGAAACTGGATCCATCACTTTAGTGCAGGAGTTCAAGGACAGCCTGGGCAACACAGTGAGACCCCCCCCCCCAACTCAAAAATAAAAATTGGACATGGTGGTTATACCTATATTCCTAGCACTCTGGGTGGCTGACGTCAGTAGGATTGCAAGTTGGAACCCAGCCTGTAAATTCAGAGAAACTTTATCTCAAAAATCAATAAATAAAAGGGCTAGTAATGTAGCTCACTCTAAGATCCTGGAATCAATTCCCCAGTTTCAATAGATAAATACGTAATCTTTCTAAGATTCCAGTAGGTGCTCAGTAAGTATAACACATCTGTTACATTTGGCTCCAAGAAAACAGGTCTCACCCTACCCGCCAAAGGCCAATCTGAGTGGGATCCAAACAAAGCACACCTAGGTACGAAACCACCCAGAAATAACCCTCTGCCTCCCCATGACTACCCCACACCAACACTTCAAGATTTACACAGTGACTCCTTTAAAAGGCCACCCAACATTTAGCAGAGGGCCTATACTGGGGTCTTGTACAGTCATTAGGTCAATCTAGTGACATCTGAATTTGGAGACCAAAGACCTTTACTGTTAACAAGAAGACTTAGATAATCAGGGCTTAATGTCTGGGCCTTCTGATTCATGTATGTGCCCCCAAACCCCTCAAAGAGAGTTGATACAGAAATAATTTGTTGGGTTTACAAATGATGGAAGACTAAATCCAAACATATGGTGCTCTGGCGATTTACAGGTTGAGGCAATTAAACTTTCAGAGTTAGGCAAAGAACATTCTAGATCAACACTGTCCAACGAAATTTTCTGTAACAATGAAAATGCTCTTGACCAGTGCTGTCCAGTATGGCAGCCCAAACACATTCCTCCAGCAGCCCCCTGGAGCATAAGCTGAATGCTTTTAATGTTCACCAATCTTCCTTTGCAGCTGAAGGAACCCAGACCCCTGAGAGCCACCTGGCCTGCCTAGACCTGCATGCAGCAAGGTTTCAGCCCCAAGAACTACACCAAGCCTAGGGCTCTTCTTACCAGCTAAGCCCAGTAATGAAACAAGCCCCACTGACCCTGAGCTCTGCACAGCTTCACTTTCAGACACACCCTGGGAACCTGCTTTGTTCCCAAATACAAATGGGCACAGTGACACATGGCAAGGTGAATGCAGCCAGCCAGTAGTACAGGATGGGAAGCAGGGTGTTCACTACCAATGGTTGCAAACTACTAGACCACTGGTGAGACCAGTGGCAGAGATGCCCAGATGACAAGGATCTAGACTGAATGAAACTGGACACTGCCGTTCAGGAGGAAAGTTGAGGAAAAAAGACACCTTAAAAGCTACTTATTACTAGGAAGCCAATCCTCAGAATGCTGATTATACATACTCCTCCACTGCAACAATCTGCTTAGAAAGCAGCACAAAGATTAGGAGAGCCCAAGGAATTAAGAATTTTCCTTGGTCATTGTGCTCATAAAAAAAGTCCACTAGGATCTAGAGCAAGGCTATTTGTTAGTTTCTCCACCCCTCAATTTGTAATTTTGCTCCCTCCATTGAAACAAAGTAGAATGACCTCCAGCTTCACCCTCAGTTGCACTCATAGGTGCAAGGATTAAAGGATTAAGCAGGTGCTTGCCTGCTCTTTGCTCACCCAACACATGAACTGTCAAGGAAGAGGCCTCTAAATTTGTGTCCACATCCCCAGGAGCTACTTTTCCAGCCAGACGCTGCCCTGCTTCAAACCTGTTCACTGACTACCTTCCGCGGCTCAGGTTTAAAGTGAGGTACTATGACCAGGCGTGCTGGCACATACCTGTAATCTGAGCACTTGGGAGGTTGAGACAGAAGGATCTGAGTTCAAGATCAGTCTGGGCTACAGCATCAATTTGAAGCCAGCCTGAACTGCACAGCAAACCCATTTACAAAAAAATTAAAATAAAATGAGGTAGTAGGGCCACTGGTTCACTGAGTAGAGTGCCACATCCAGATGCTGATTAAAGAGACCCATGTGAGGTATCACACCAAGAAGGCAATTGGTATCATTCTTTTTTTTTTTTTTTTTTTTATCGGTACCGGGGATCGAACTCACGACCATCTGCTTGCAAGGCAGGTGCTTATGCCACTGAGCTAAATCTCCAGCCCCCAAGAAGGCAATTGGAAGAAACAGAAACTTTACTCTAGGAAGCAAAGTTTAGAACAAACATGCCCCTAATGATGCAGATTAATGACTCTCAAACAGTATGAGATGATTTCAGTGAATCCAGAATCCCCCAGAACCCAACATATCCCATGGCAGAGGAAACATCCACCTTAGAGCAAGGAGCTGAAGGTACTAACCCACACCAAAATAACTGCTAACTTCCCCACACCAGGGAGACAGACTGGGGTGCAGAGGGACCAGACATTCCAGACTCACCAAGCACTTTGGGAAGGAGTAGTTAGGAAAAACAGACCAGTCTCCAGGCATGCAGGATACATGCTGCCACCCTTCAAAGCTTTGAAATGCCCACAGGAGCAAGACAGGCTTGTGGGTAAAGTGTGAGGAAACCAATTTGTCTCTCTTTTCCCTTTAACATTGTTTCTAGGTCAGAGGCTAGAGGCAGGAGTGCTTGTAATAAAACTCAAACCTCTCAAGTGATTTAGGTGCAACTTAAGATTCTGATAGTCCTTGGGGGAGAGAAGAGAAATAATACTTAAGCACCTGTCATGCACCAGTTACAGTACCTGGTCTCATGAACTTGACCTCTACCTGTCTTTAGGAAAGGGAAAGGGAACACTGGTGACGAAAACTACTTTGTCCCACAAACTATAGCTAGATCAGCCTGGGTCCAAGTCCAAGAATAACTTGGGTTACCTGGTAACAAGACAAACTGCTTTAAAATATTGATGCTCAGCAACTGTATACTGGAGATACACCAACTTCAGCACCAGAACAGATACAGCTAATGTCACCCTGCAGTAGCCAAGTGTGAATGCACTTCCTAGAAATAGCAGGGAGGTAGAGGGCGCTTCTAATAGAGGGACTCCACCTCCACAGAAATTCACTAGACCTACCTGTCTTATTCACAGGCCAGTAGCAGCTAACTGATAGAACATGCACAACCACAGAGCCTGTTTGATCCAGCAACTACAAGTGATTTGCATACCTGAAGGATATAGAGGATATCCTCTAATCTAGGGCCATCTTGTACCACTCTCAGGAATTATTACTTGGAACTTACAAAACTGGTAAGACATGAGATAAGAAAGGCTCAACCAGAGTACAAAAGCCCCCAGAACAAAACTTATTTTAAGGGCTCAGAAATCTTAAATAATCAGCAGGTGGACCACCAAAAACAAAAGAATCCGGTAAGTGATGAAGTCACTCTGTCCTCTCCATTTCACAGGTGGTTTGCAGCTTTAAGAGTAGAATAGCCGCTCGGTGCTATAGAGTCCAAGCTTTGCGTTCTAAATAATGTGGGGTTTTTTGTTTGTTTTTTAAAATACTAATTTGAGAAGGAGTTCGCATGAATTAATAGTTTTTGTGAACAGTGTGCCTTAATCAGTAATTGCAACATAGGAGCAGTGGAGGGAGTAAGGTTGCAAACCAACTAGGTCCGGTCACCCAGATTTCACCACAGGAGATAAATTTAAACACCAAGTAGCGTGCACTTCAATAGAAGACAGGCGGTTTTAATTTCAGTAATTGTATTTGCACATATACCCCCACCTCACCCGGCTGGAGAGGCCTCCACTCCCACCTGGAGTGAAGTCCACCAGGTCTGCATTAACTCAAGGTTTATGTTAACTACAGCGCAGGAACAGGAAGGGGCCCAAGCCCCGCACATCTCCCAAAGCAAGGTCAGTCCCGCACCGCCCAGGACTTCCCTGCAATCCCTGGAGACTTCTGGCACACCCTTCCACCATTAGCGCTTTTCCTCTCCTATTCTTCCCTGGTTGAGGAAATAGGAAAAACGTAACCTAGGGCACAAAATAGTTGAAACTATGTAGCCTCTTACGTTTCCAGTCCCGTGGCCTCTCCAAGCACATTTTTAACCCACACCCCCCAGAAACGTGCTGGTTTCTTCAGATCTCCGGCCTAAGGTGGGGAGGCATGTGACCCTAGACGCTGATCAGCCTGTACTTCTGCCAACGCTATTTGCCCTCGACATATCCAAGCGCTGCACCACCGAACCCTAAGTTGGTTTGATCCGCTCCTCCGCCCCAAACATCATCAGCCGGTCTCCCAACCCATCCTACGGCTCCGTCGGAGTCTCCATACGTTCTCCGCAGCGAATTTGAGAGGCTTTGGGAGCTACCTGGTGGTCGAATTTGCCACCGTCGCCATCCGAGACGAGCCCACGGAGCCCAGAAGTTACAAGAGGCTTCGGAAGCGACCCATCAAACTCCAATCCTTCGGCAGAAGGGCGTTCTGGGGGGGAGGGGGGACAGGGAGACCTCCTTGCCCTCGGGGCGCCCGGCTCTGCCTACTGCCTGCCCCACAGCCGCCTCGCCCCTTTGGGCTCCGACTGGGTACACACGACCTTTGAAAAGTAAACGCGAGTGGAGCTGGGCGACCTTGGGTGGGACGCGCTCAGGTCCGCCCCACCGATAGGGGTGCGCGCTTGGGGAAAGTTCGGGCTCGGACGGGCGACCCGGGCGCGGCGTTCTCGCCCCTGCCCCAGAGGACGGTGACGCGCGTGGGGCAAGCCCCACGCACCCGACCTGTCACCAGCTGAAGCGCGCAGCGCATGGGGAGTGCGCGACAGGCCCGGCCTGAGTGACAGGGCGGCGGACTACAGCCCCCGCATACGCCCGGCGCCCGCAGCGCCGCCCCGGGGCACGCGGACCGCGCGCGTCGCACCCTACACCTGCACCTCGGCTGCCCCATCGCCGCGATGGCGCCTCCTCAGGACCCCGGCAGGGGGTGGGGATGCAACTCACCAGCTCCTCGGAGACTCGGGTTCCGCCGTCCCCTAACCCCGCCTGGCCGGGCGGCCGGGCCCGCAGCGCAGCGCTCCGGCCGCTCCCCCACGTGCTCGCCCAGGCCGGAGGAAAGAGACATTAAATACTGAGGACGCGCGGCGACGTGCTCGCGACGCGACGCAAAGCCCCGCCCCTCGCCCTCGTGCCCCCGCGCCCACTCGCTCGCTCACCTGCGCGTGCGCGCCTCCGTCGCTCCCACCGTACCGCGGGTGCCTCAATCACGGCGCGGGAGGGGGCGCGGTCTGGAGTTAACATCCCGTGGCCGCCCGCAGCAGGCCCGGCCTGTGTTCTCGCGAGAAGAGCTGTAATCTCGGCGGACCCGGGGAAGGGGAGTTCGGGTGCAGCGTTAGAGCTCGTCGGACTTTGGGTCTTAAGCGTGTCTTGTTGTTGGCCAGTTCGGAGTTTCGGCCCTCGGCGGTGTGAAAGGGTCTTTGAGCAGGGCTGTGCCTCCAGAGCGGCCCCTGGACCAGGCGGAGAGGCCAACCATCATTGCATCGTAATGCACTGGGTGGCCTTTAGTAATTGCTGAGTAGTAAGTGCATACTGGTAGTACCTCTGCCCCTTTCTTGCCTAACTTAGTTATTGGTGTGAACCACTTTCTTCTAAATTGGCTCCAGATTTGTAATGACTCCTAGAAAAGAGTGACCTTGAGTTACTGCCTCTACCAGGAACTCGGGGAAACAAATTTCCTCTAGACAATTGAACAGGGTGGGGTTCTGGCTGATCTGACCTGTTCTGTATTTGGATAAAATATACAACACATCATGCAGGTGGGTATGGTCTGTGCACATCTGTAGCCCCAGCTCTTTGAGAGGCTGAGGCAGGAAAGTTTCCAATTGGAAGCCCCGCCTGGACTATTTATTGACTTAGCAAGATCCTGTCTCAGAAAAATAAACTAAATAAATTTAAAGGGTTTGGATTGTAGCTCATTGTGAAGGCCCTTGGTTCAATCCCAAACACTGTCCAAAAAAATTAAGAACCAGTCATTACTTGGGAAATGTGCATGTTTTTATTAGCGATCAAATGCAAATTTCAAAGACGAGATACCATTTACCTATTAAGTTTTGGGTTTAAATTCCTGTAAATATGAATCCCAAGTGCAAGATGTGATAGGTCCCATGCAAGAAACAAGAGAAAGCTGACATTCAAAAGAAATAAGACCAGCTTTCGGTTTTGCGGTCAGGAAAGATGTTAAGTGAAATTTAAATACAAATATTGGAAGAGAAGCAGCCACCATGCAGATTGAATATGGGCGTAAGTGTTGAGGGAATGTTCTCAGCAGAGGCACAACACTGGCAAAAACAAGAAACAGCTTCTGGGGTCAGGCAAGGTTGAGCATGCCTGTAATCCCAGCACTCAGGAGGATGAGATAGGAGGATCACTGCAAGTTCGAGGCCGGCCTGGGCTCCATAGTGAGCCCACTATGTACTGAGTTGTTGTTTCAGAAAAGCAAAACAAAACAGCTTCTGGTGAACTAGAAAATAGTTGAGAGGTTTGTAGTTTGTTGGGCATTGTGAGTTTGCAGGTGGACACCAGTCACCTAATGGCCCACAGTCAGGTTTGGATTTTATTCCACTCTATTCAACCACGAAGCCAGTGACAACTGCATCTCCATGCCTTGGGCTCTCCCTTCCACCTGGAATCTTCCCACAGATCTGCAGGGACAGTGCCCTCCCCTCCTCTCGTCTGAATACTTTCCCTGTCTGCTTAAGATTGTAAACACATGCATGCTCATAATTCCCTATTTCTCACCCTTTCTTGATCTTTCTTCACAGCCCTTTGTGCTATCTACTGTCTGCTTCATTCACTTCCTGAGGCAGGCGTTACTGAGAGGAGTGTTCTGTATCAATGTGTTTAGCAAGTGAAAGAGAAGCCACTAGAGAGGGTTGGGTAGAGTGTGATACAGTCAGATGTTTGTTTTGAGGAGTGAAGCAGTAAGCCAGCATGGCGATGCATACCTGCAATCCAGCATGCAGGAGTTGGAGGCAGAGGGCCTGAGAGAGTTCAAGGCCAGCCTGCACTGCATTGCAAGACTCTAGTTCAAAAAAAAAAAAAGGAAGCAGTAGCTGCTGTGAGAAGAATGGATGAGAGACCAGCATGGAAGCAGGGAGACCGGGTTAAAGACTGCAACAAATGGATCAAGTAAAAAACCATGTTGATCAGAGCTAAGTGACTCTGAAGATGGAGAGTCCACTTTAGATTCAAGATCTGTTTTGGGTCAGTCGTGGTAGTGCCTTGCCTATAGTCTGAGCTCCTAAGCAGGCTGAGGCAGGGGGCTCATGTGCTCAGACCAGCCTGGTCAACTAAGATCCTATATAAATATAAATAAATAAATAAGGGTTGGGGATGTAGCTCAGTAGTAGAGCACTTGCCTGGCATGTGTGAGACCCTGGTTCAATTCCAGTACTAAAATGAATGGGAATATTTCAAAAGTAGAGTAATGATGTCACTTGTGTTACTATTATTAAGAGAGGGAAATGGAGTGCTGATTCCTCCAGCTTGGGTGACTTAGAACTGAGGAGAGAGATGCGTGGAGAGAAGCACTGGTTTCACTTTGGGCCCATTAAGTTTGTACTGTTTTTGTGACATCCAAATGCAGGCTAATTAAATTGGATACGCAAGTCTAGGTGGAGCTCAGAGGGATGGTCTGTATGAGAACTGCAAATGGTGTTAAAGGAAGGGTTTGTTTGTTCGTGTATTTTGGTTTTTGAGAGAGCGTCTTGCTGTAACTCAGACTGGCCTAAAACGATAGAGGCCTAAATCTGCCTCGGCCTCTAGAGCACTCAGATTTCAGATGTGTGCCACGGCACATGGCAGAAGGGATGTGTTCAAGATAGATAATGCGCAGGGGTTGCAGAGATAGGAACAAAGAGAGTGAAAATGTGATATCTGAGGTGTTAAGCCTTGGAATCACTGCTAGGAAAAAAGACTGGGAGACAGAAAGTCAAAGAGACATGAGGAGGAAAGAAGAGCAAGGGCGCATAAGATTGGGGTGGCGGTCACCCCAGAGCACCGGAACACACAAGGCCTAAAAGCAGCAGGGCAAGGGGAGAAAGCTGTAAATTATCAGGGATGGGGACACAGTCGTGAATCAAATGGACGAGGAAGAGTAGAGAGGGTTAAGTTCATGTCGTCACAACCGGACTCAGCCCCCAGAGTCAGAGCAGTGCAGAGATCACAAAGGTAGCCCTAGTTTAAGAGTAGAAGGTGAGTGGGGCGGCACACACCTGAAATCCCAGCCCTCAGGAGGCTGAGGCAGGAAAATTTCCGAGTTTGAGGCCAACCTGAGCTACCTATTGACACCCTGTCTCAAAAAAGGAAACAACAAAAAGGTTAAAAGTAAAGGAATGAGAAATCCAGTGAGGATGGAAGGTGATCCTTAGGATGTGCCGTGAGGAAGACAAGATTACAGTTAGGGTCACACTTTAACATTGGCACAAGATGGGTAAAGTCTGCTTAAGAAGGAATCTTTCCCTCCTCTCTCTCTCTCTCCTTTGGTGGTGCTAGGGATTGAACTCAGAGCCTCACATGCTAGGCACACTCTTTACCACTGAGCTACCTCAGTCCCCAGGTAAGAATTTTAGCCTAGGATGCATAAAACAGCTACATTGTTCATGTGGCTCTGTAAGTACTGCATGGCATTTTTCTGCAGATAATTATGGATAGCATCTCTCAAATTCTCTAGCCTGGCCTCAGAAAAGGAGAGGACAATAATTACTACCCAAAATAGTGTGGGGTGGGGTGGGAAAAGATGGGGGAGGGGGAATAAAAAGATCAAAATGTATATGTATCTGCCCATTAACCATAATGATAGAAATATATATATATAAGTATATATATACTTTTGTTTGGAGACAAGGTCTTAGTATGTAGCTCAGGCTGGCCTCGAACTCAGTATATATCCCAGGCCATTCTCCAATTCATTAGTGATCCTCCTATTTCTACCAACTGCTGAGATCATAGGCATGCCCCACTACACTCAGCTGAATGTATTGAATATGTATTGCAAACACATATTAATAAAAAAAAAAGTCTGGTCTGGAAGTGAAGATTATTTAAAATAAAAAGCTCAAATACTAATTTTAAAAAGTAGGTGTGATAGTACGTTCCTATAATCCTAGCACTCAGGAGGCAGAGACAGGAGGATCATGGCAAGTTCAAGGCCAGCCAGAACTACATAGCAAGACTGTCTGTAAAAAAGAATGTGCCAGACAGAAGGTTAAAGAAAAAACAAAAAATCACGGAGTGTTCAGGGAAGACCATAAAAGAGGAGGCTGAGGCAGTGCTTAAGGTTCCTTTAGGCTGGAGAAGTGGCCTCTCTGATAAACAAAGGAGGTCAGCTGAGAACCTGCTGCTGTTGGTCTTTTTTGATTCCCATAAATCAAGCCCCTCACTCTGCACAACCGTCACTAATACCAAGAGGCCATGATGGGGCCTGTACGATACTGTTCTATCAGTGACATCGTGGTCATTGTAAATGGTGAAACTTGCCCCCTTGCTTTCTAAACCGGTACCTCTTACCAGTGTGTTTAGCATACGTCAGCTGGCAGTCCAGGCATCACCGTGGTGAGACTGTGCACCTCTTATACAGTGAGTGGGGGCTTGAGGCAGGACTGAGAGGAGCCTTCCAGGTGGGCCTTTACTTGGCCCTCAACTCATTATGCAGCCCAGGCTGGCTTCTCTTTCTTTGTGATCCTCCTGCCTCAGCCTCCTGAGTGCTTGGATCAGGTGTGCACTACCTCGCTCAGGTGTGAGGCTCTTTTTAAACATCAGCCTGTTGTATTCTCTTCAAATTTTGGGGCATGTATTTGAGGAATGTCCCATCTTTCCTATTGGAAAAATCTACTGAGAAACTTTTAAGTACTAGAAACATGAGCTGTCTCCATTCTGGATGCCCATTAACAGAGTACCTCCCATTCTCCATCCCA